TACCGAGCCGATGCAGGACGCATTCAGTGGGCGCTGAACACAGGTGCTGGTCTCGGCACCACGACTGTGGGCGGGTGCTGAACAGAGGGCACACAGGAGCGGTGCCGTCCACACCGACCCAGCTGAGATTCGAACCCGCCACCTTTAAACTCGGGGTCCTTACCCCGCCAGCGGCTCTCGCTCACGCTCCTGCAGCGCATTTCACGCTGCGGCTCAGCCTGGCTTTTCTAAGTCCCACCAGACACAACCAGGCAGAGTCTGCAACGTGTAACGAAGCGGACGGTGGCACCCAGCTGAGCACAGCCGGCACGGCGACCCCAGCCACTCCGACACGTGACCAACCGCACGCACGGGATGGGGATTGCTACGCACATCTGCCTTCTGGCTTCCTGCGGCATCCAGAGAAACCTGCCCGCTGCAGTGGTCTCCTTTGGGTTTCTCCCTTATTTAAAGGAGTCGGGACCCGCAGGTGAGATTTTCCTAATGCAACTCGGGCAAGAAGCAGGCGCTCAGGACCAGCAAACAACCCCGTGCCCTCACCACAGAAGGTACTCTTCTTTTGCACAAAGACTGGCCAAGCGCCGGCCTGGCTTGGAGGAAATAAACCTTCGAAGCACACACCAGACCCGCCCTACAGCGTCGCCCGCCGTCCCTCCCGAGTTCAGGCTGGATCAGTGACACCCCCCAGCATTCAGCCCTCGGGGTGCGGGCTGAACCCGGCACCGGAGGAGCCCACCAGCACGAACTGGTGGCGTTTATATTTCCCAGTGCCGAAGCCCGCGCACAGGAGCTGTGCTAGGAAAAAACCCGCCCTCCACTGGAAAAAGCATGGAGGGAGCCCTGTTCCCACACCCAGCTCCTGCCCCCCCGGGTGAGCGGTCCGTGGCCCCAAACCAAACAACGCCGCACGAGGCGTCACTTACCTTTAATCTCCAACCACTGCTCATAATCTTCCTCCTCCTCTTCGTCCGGCGACTGAAACACACTGAGGCGGTTAACGACTGGGGTCTGTTTGGAACGGGCGTAGATCTTCGCTTGGTGCAGCATGCTGCTCAGGACCTGGCCCGGGCGCTTCCCAAACAGCAAAGGTCTCTTCCCGACATGCGGCGCAGAAGTGTTTGCCGGGTTATTAGTAGAACTTGGGGGAGGTTCTTGGGAAAGAATGAGGGGAGAATAATTCCTGTGCATCCTCACTGCTTCAATCTCAGGTCACAAATAACAACTCGGGCGGGAACACAGCTGCCACAGGCCGTTATTTTCAGAGTAAGTTAAAGACGCTGACGGGGAAGAGCTGTGCAAAGGCGTGACAGCTGGGATGGCTTTTACAAAGCGAGATTCAAGCTAGGAGGGAGATGCTTGTCTTTCCAGCACCTGAAGAGGGAAGAGGGCAAACCTCCCTATGGCACCTGGGAAAACTACTTCAAATTTAAAGGGGTCACCGTTACTTTAGAACTTACTCGTACTGGTAACAGCACATAGCAGGGTTTCTACAGCGAACACACACGGAGCCGACTCACACAACGCCCGCCCGGGGGGAAGGGCCTCCGGCTGCTCAGAAGTTGACCTACCAGCACTTGACTTTTCCTTCTGCAGCTTGAGAAACTGCTGGAGGAAACTGCCATCGTTAACAAACTTGTTGGAAACGCAGGCTTCGTTTTCCGTACCGTCATCTCTGAACAGAAAAAGAAAAGTAGGTGATGGTACTCGTCATCCTCCCCAGCCCCCCTCGCAGCCCCCTGTTTATTCTGCAGGGAAAACGGGACAATCGCTCACGACGACGCAGCGCAGCCGCTGAACACGCGCCTGGCGTGCCGAGAGGGGTTTGTTCTCGGCTGGGAGAGGATTTCCTCTCGCTCTGCTGAGCCGCCCCAGGCAAGCGCTTAGCCGGGGCGCTGAGCTGCCCGTGAGCGGCCGCGCTTCCGTGGAAGACGACGCACCAGGAGCGTTTATCCCCCGGTAAAACCACCCTCTGCCCTCGCTCGGGTGGGAAGCTGGCTGCACCAGCTACCGCGCCCGCAGCCTGTTCCAACCTCCGCT